CAACATTAGTTTCAGGATTTTGAGGATCAACGGAGCTGTCTTGTATTATTGTGGACTATCGGCTCTGTTACTCATGTCATGTCAACGTTTCAGCTCGTATCTGTGGCAGCTGATCCACCAAGTCTTATTTATTTATTAGATTATAGGTTTATTTTTGTATGCATTTTGTTTTGTTTTGTTTTTTCTAATTTTTGGATTTAACAATTGGTTTTTTTTGCAGCTATTCCAACATTAGTTTCAGGATTTTGAGGATCAACGGAGTTGTCTTGTATTATTGTGGACTATCGGTTCTGTTACTCACGTCATGTCAACCTTACAGCAGTGGAAACAATTCTACAGTTGTCACAAAGACGTTTCAGCTCATTGCATTTTCTTCTGTTGGGCCGACAGTCCGACATATTACACTGCCAACAGTAATCTGGCTACGATGATTTTCCATTGCGACGGTGCAGTCGAGGACAGACGTAGTCAGAGTTCTAAATTGAATATTTTAATATTTCTTATTGTAGTTGTAATTGTATTTTTTTATTTAATTTCTTCTGATACTCATGAGAGAGTGAGCATTTTTTGTTATTTTTTTAAACTGATCTGTAATGATTTGTTGCTTCTGTTTTATTTTTATGTGTGTTCATACAGTTCTGTTGCAAACAATTTTATTAAGTAAAAAATGATCATTTATTCAGCAACAGGTACAAATAAGATGTTCTGCATAAGCTCACATATATAAGTCAACTTATTTTGATAATCTACAAATATCAGATTGTCAGGATAATCTGCTTATATATAATCTAATGCTGCCGCAAAAAGACCTTCATTTCTGAATCTTTTTTTATATCCTTGCCATTTCAATTAAAGAGTGACAGTTGCTGATAAACCCCAAGAGTTGCTATGGTATAATCGATAATAACTATTATTTTTTGCCAATTATATTTTTCTTTCTTAGGGTTTAGGGTTTAGGGTTTAGGCTATTATTTTTTGCCAATTATATTTTTCTTTCTTAGATTTAGATAGAAGTCTAAATTTGTATCTTTCTCAAATTTTGATAGAATTCTATATTTGTATCTTCTTACATGGAGATTTAGGGTATGTTTGAGGCAGTTGCAAATTATATATAATTTGTTGAGCAGATTATCCTGACAAACTGATATCTGCAGATTATCGAGATAAGCTGCCTTGTTCTTTGAGAAAATTTATGCAGAACAACTTATAGACAGCTGTTGCTGGATAAATGATTATTTTACCATGTTTAGTGAAGTTGTTTACAACAAAACTGTATGAACACAGAAATAGATGAAACAGAAGCTGCAAATCATTACAGATCAATTCAAAAAGATAATATAGCGCTCACACTATCGTGAATATCAGAAGAAATAAAATAAAGATAAATACAATTACAACTACAATGATAAATATTAAAATATTCAATTTAAAGCTCTGGGTACATATGACTACAATGATAAATATTAAAATATTCAATTTAAAGATAAATACAAGGGTACATATGTCCTCAGCCACACTGTCACCATAGGAAATCAACATACCCTAATCATTGTCGGCAATGCAATATGTCGATTCG